GGGGGGGGGGGATTCTCAAAATCGAGGCCAAGAAAACACCGAGCGCGACCCTAAAGGAACCCTGGGGGGGAAGAGTGACGGAGCCCAAGTGCTGGCTGGGGACTGAGGGCCAGCTAGCTGGGAGGAGCAGCCAGCCCGGGCCACTGTCAACGCTGCCATGAATCCTTAGGGCACGTCCTTGGGCCAAGGTCATGGAAATCACCTTAAGGTTTAGGAAAAAAAACGAAAAACAAAAAGAAAGCTACCTCTGGATGTGCTTAGTGTATGGAGTCCTACCTCCCTACAGGAACCCCTGCTGCGGGCAGCCAGCCTCGGCTCTCCTCCGCCTCTCCCGTTTCTTTTTTATAAAATGAACGTGAGACAACTTACAAGACATACCTTCTAGTCTACTTCCTCGTCGATGCGAAACATTCAACACAATTCCAAGTGGGGGGAAAAAATAAAGTTGAGCAACATGTGGAAATAAGAGCGAACTACCACTTACTGTAACTTCCTACACAACGCTATGGATGAACTTCACTCAGGTAGGAATATGAAAAATTAGGATAAAACCTGTGTCTGAATATGTCTTAGCTGCCTTAGTAAAATGCCCTTTAACCCCCGCAGCCCAGCGGCCCGCCCACCGCCAGCAGTGGTTTTTGTCTGAGTCCACGCTTCCCACGTCACGAGGCTAAGACGTCTGCGTGCATGATGCATCCTGCTCAGCAATCACTTGCTCTCACCAGTGCGGTCACAACTCTACATCACACTGTGGTCTTCCGTTTGGGAGCTGTTGGAGAGTTTAACTAAAATACGTCTCCATGATCACTCCACAGAGCCACCAGCCCCCCGCCTGCCGCGAGGAGGCCCCGGCCCCTGGGTTTCATAGGCTGCTTTGGAAAGTGTCAGCTCCTAGCACCAAAGGGTTTAATCTGAAGATCGTCATTAATGGAGAAGGTGAGGTTTGCAGCCATGTCCCCTTTCGGTGAGAAATGGAGCTCGGGGACATGAGTATATACAGAAAAAGGAAAGTTGGAGGTGTTCTCTTTTAGTTTTGTTTTGTTTCCCTGATGGCTTAATTCAGTGATAGATGTACCATGATCAGAATAAACACACTGGGGCCTTATCTTTTACTTCCTCCTTCGTAAATACTGGAGATGTGTTCATTCTGCCAAGTAGGTTCATCTATCATTCAGGTCTCCACTGTGTTCGTTTCACCGTGTTGCCAGGCGTCATGACATCTCAATTCTCAAACGAGCAAACGCCCATTTGTTTCATTAACCCCTTGGCGTGGGTACTTGGGGATGTTCTCGTTTTTAGCACCAAGGGGTCAGAAGACAGCGTATCTTCTCCCAAAGCCAAATTCTAACCGGTATGTACAATTTCAGAGCCTCATCAAAATGTGTTCACAAAGGAGAAGCGTGCACGAATCTCGTCGGCGTGTACATTCCTTGCACGTGGGTCGGAACAAACTGCAGTACGTCTACTGTGTGTGAGCTGGAGCTGCATTTGCTAACACGACATACAGTTCTCATTACTAAAAATAAATACTACTGCAATATAAACAAAATCATAAAAGGACATTCAAAGTTTCAACATCCGAGAAAAAGCTAACTCACGCAGAACTGAAATGGGAAATGAAAACAAATACGGCGAACGCCCGTTTACCTCGGTGTACAGGTTTTGGTGAAAAGCAGGATTATACCTGTCTACATTCTGCAGCCATCGGAGGCAGTAAATATTATCATGGAAAAAGGTTTCCAAGCACAGGGAAAAAACTGCTCTCCGATGCACGTCCTATTAGACCTTGAAACGACCTTGACTCAGCTGTGCATAGGCTTCCTTCCTCGTGGAGCAGTTCGTCTGCCCACCACTGCCTGTGACATCTAGACGTCCAAGGGGAACGCCAGGCTTCCTATGCAGGATCCGACAGGACTTCAAATACATATACTGAGATGGATACGCATCTCAATAGGTGTTCAGTCCTCGCAAATGCTCCCTCGGGCATTTCAGCCAGATCCTAGTGGAATATACCTACGTACGCACGGATCTGACAGGCTCTCCTAAAATCTGCATGTGCACATCACCACCCTCCCACAACTGCTTGTTCTGGATTACAAACTAAATCGTCTTAGTCTAATTAGATTTGATTTAGCTTCTAGAAAGTTAAAAAATGTACCTAGAATCAGTGTATCTCACTTATCCTTCACTGTTAGGGGAGAAACAAGAACTGAATGGTCAGAAGATGACACTTGGTGCACAGATGAATCATGGTGGGCTCATGACTTCCCAAGATTGTAAAATTACCTCTTAAAGTTGCTATAATAGTAAGACAGTAGCAGCAACAGCATGAGACCTTAGACTGAGATACAATTTCATGCAAAAACAAAAAGTCGAGTGTATTTGCGTATATGTGTGTTCTCGGGTGGGTGAGAGGTGGCGAGGGGTGAAGACCTGGGGCCGGTCTGGGATGTCGAAGGCGCCCTGCTGTTGTGAGAGCGAGGACTGGTCTGGTGTCCAGGAGCCGTTCTCGGTGTAACTCGGTGGCGGTGAGGCAGCCCACGGGGCCTACTCGCGCCCGCTGGCCGAGTAGGAGAACTGCGGGAAGTGCGGCCGTCGCTCGTTGTCCACGCAGTCCATGCCGTCCTCATCATCTGCGGGCGGGAAACGGCTTTTAATCTTACACGGGCTTTAGGCAACACTGCTCTGCTCTACACGGCTCTAACTTCTAACTTCATGAAGGTTAACGGCGGCAATAGCTCCTGGGGACCTGGGCTTGTCGATGAAACACAGCAACTAAACTTACTATTAAGAAATAATACTCTCAAGTCATCACCTTCAGGACACTAACATTCTGAGACTCAATAAACTGGAAAATAATTGAAGAAAAGATTTTTTTTTTCAATTAGAAGGAACAGACAATCTTAAGTAACCTTTAGTTTCATGATACTGAGGAGGTCACGACAACAGAGGTCAGTGACTCTGAGGCGCCTGAGCCCTCTCTCACCAACTGTCTTCAGACGCCTGTGTTTTTCCTTCATGGTGCTTTAGGTGTGACTGCAAAATAAAGCCCCGTATGATTCCACGTCATCTGAGTCCAGGAGCCCATGTTTAAGATTTTACATTTACTCTACATCTGATCCCTGCCTTCACTCATCACTCCCAGGTTTCCTACAATAAAACTTGAAACGGGAATGAAGAGAAAAAGGCAAAGAAGGAAAGACGTCAGCACCTAAGGACTCGTTCACCGGGGAATGAACAGGGAGGAGAGATGGCGTCTGAAAGGTTAGAAATGAACCGATCTCCTCCCATCGGCGCTGACGATGAACGTCCCACCGTCAGGATGCTCCCCAAACCCACAACCTTCCCTGGGCCTCAGCTCTGTGCAGAGACCTTGCCACCCGCACCCGGGGCCCCCTGTCTGGGGGGGAGGCCCCCCCATTAAATCTCCTGCACTGGATCGAGAGCTGACCTGCAGTGAGTGAGGGGATCTTTCCAACACCCAACCTTCTTTTCTTCAAGGAAAATCACCCCATTTCTTCCCATGCACGGGAGTACACTACCAACTCCCCCCATTTCCCAGCCTCTGCAGGCAGCGTCCTGGCTGCTCTTTTCCGGTCCTTCTCATCTATGTTCTATTTCTAACACAGAAAACTCTAGAAACGGGTTGAGCTAACTAAAATGTACTAGGAAACACCATGGCCCTGGGTGGGGCTCAGACTGGGGCTCAGGAAGTAGGTGTGGTCCTCCCTACAGACCACCGACCTCCCAGGGCCTCCCTCCCTTTAACGACACATTTCTCAGCAATACCGTGATTTAGGGACACCTCTCCTCCTGATTATCAAATGCTGGGCAGGCACCAAGCTAACCACGTGCATCTTGTAGATGAATTCCTTTCCCCGGTACTTTCCGCTCCACTAGAGACGTAGGAGCTGCGGATGGGGAATCTGCTGAGTCACAAAGTGTAAAACTCTCGAGAGAAAAGGCAGCTGAGATCCTAACGCTCCGATTCTGACATGTGCCAATCACATTTCAAAGAACCCATTTTCCCCACTAACAGCTTTGTTTTGCTGGGCGTGTCTCTGCACAGTAAACAAATTAAACGCATTTCTGAATGTAAAGAAACCTAAACCTTGTAGATAACCACGCGAGGGTCCCACACCCCGATCTTTAAATCTTTTGTGGGTGGGTGATCAGAGTGAGGGGCTGTGGGCCTGGGAGGCGGTGACCAGGGCTCCCTGGGTCCTCGTGTTGCACAGGCAGGTGGGCTGCAGAAGGAGGGAGCTAGAAGCAAGTGACAGTGACAGGCAGCTACCTGCCCAGCCACGCCCGTCACACCCAGTCAAGGGCTATCCATACATTCCCGCTCTGAAAAGAGGTTCCCGGGAAACAATGGTGATAATGAACATGAACTAGGCTAAAAAAAACCCCAAACCACACACATCTGGAAAAAGAAAACAGAAGGCTCAGTCCACACCCCACCTGAGTCCCTGCCTCCCACAGCATCCGTGGCCTCATCATGGTCTTAGAACATTTCACAAACGTAATTCTATAGCAGTAAAAGCTATGAGATCTCAAAGAAATCCCCTCCTCTATGAGGACGGGAGACCAGCAATGCATGTAACACACTCCAAAATCTGCTCAATTAATTAGCACCAGGGAGGACGATCTGGCGTGTTACTGCAGCTGTTTGCAGAAAAGGAACATTCTGCCTTCCGAGCTGATTTGTTCTAAAAAAATAACTCCATTCTGTTTCATAAAAGCAAGGTGGTGAGTGGGAAGACATCACTAGCTGATGGTACCGCTGTGGGCTTTTGTGAACAAAAACTGCTTCGGCGGCTAGAGCGGCGCTGGTTTCTCACCAGCACCGCTGCTCAGAGGTGATGGAGGTTGTATGACGTGTAATCACAGCCCGAGGGTTCCCCGGCTCCCCTCTGATCTGTCTGCCAAAGGAACCCGGGAAACACACACCCAGGGGCCGTCAACACAGGCAGTGCCCTGGCCCCGGCAGAACCCGGGACTGCGGGTCAAGGCCGGTGTGAGCAGTTTGGCTTCACAGTGCGACGGGAACCGCTGGAGGGTTTTAAATGGGGGCGTGATGTGGCCTGGTTACAATCAGGGTTGCATCCAAATGACAAGGCCTAGCAAACCCTCTATGGTGGAAAGGGCTCTTGGGCCATCCAACAGCGCACTGGTGCTGCCCGCATTTCCAACAATTATTTCGGCACAGCCCATGCCGGGGCCAGGAAACTCTGCCAACTGTTTCTACTCAGTCCTCAGCTTGCCCCAACCCCACTGGCTTTCTAACACTGTCTTCACCATGTAGAGAGTCTAAGGTTCCAGCAATGAGAAGTGGGAGCCACCGCCCGACCACTGGTGACAGGCCACGAGTGGTACTTCCAACGACTGCTGTTCCCCAGCTTCACCTGGGCAGCGGCCGGGCTGCGGAGTCCAGCCTGCCCATGGCTGACACTAACCCTGGGGCTTTGGGAAGCTCAATTTTTCTCTGGGTTTCAATTTCTTCCCTTTGAAAATAAACGTTAAGAGGTTCTTAATCCCATGCAAGTTTAAAGAAAGAGCGCATAAGCACACAGAATTATATTTTTCATTTCAGTGTGTTCAGCTCCTTGCTGTTGGGCTGTGGGCCCCAGATGAAAAACTCTTGGCCTAAATGACAAGCGACTGAGTTTGCCACTCAATGCTATAATCCAGTGATTTTCAACCCACGGTGAGCCTCGAGAATTTTAAAAACAGGCAACATCTGACTAGTCACAGTCAGGGGCACTGGCCCGTTTCTAACTGTCAAGTTAAAAAATGACAACAGCCAACACAACAATAACTGTCCAGTGTGAATGAATCAAGATTATACTTTTTTTTGGTCAGATCAGCAAAAATATATATATATGTATATTTTTTGGTGTGCTGCAGAATTCCAGTGATTAGTTTGTGTGCCATGAGGTGAAAAGGTGGCAAATCGCTGCTGTCATCTACTGACTGCGTCTGTGGTTGGCACAGCCCTTTGCTTCAGTCTTGCCCCTCCCGGACTCGGGCACGTTAGCACTGCCGCCTGCTCTGCCTTTTGGAAGGAGAGGGAGAAAAGAAACGCAGGAAAGGATGCGAAAGGAAGGAAAGGGGGAGGAAAGCCGACAAGATGTTGCTGTGTGAGCCGCCAGATGTGGGCTTGAAGAGACCTTGTAGCTACTCAGTTTCACCCTCATTTCTAAACTGATGATGCGCAGACCTTTGTCAGCACGCGAGTGTTTATAAGCGACACTTGCTAACCTCTGCTTTCGTCAAGCCCACTGTTTAAGGTGCTTATCAAAGTGTGGGACTCACTCGTGGACGTGGAATGCTGCTGAGTGGTACATAAATGTATAGATTTAACAGATAGGTAATCTAATTTATATGCATCAAAGATTACTGGCAAACTAAATGATGTCTTCACAGATGTTCCTGCTTAAGACAAAGGGAAGTAAAAAAAAGCATAATTCAATTAAAAGTGAATTTTAAACCTAGTCCGTGGGAGACCGAAATTAGGAAAATTCTGAAGGACAGACGTGAGTGGGAAACGTGGGACGTCTCCATTTCAGATTCCTTTTAGCTGATGTCAAGAGAAGCTTCTGGAGAACAGTAGGGAAGGCTAATTAGTCTGTAATTCAGTCTATAGTTCTGTTTACACTTTTTCCATATGTAACTTTTCCTACCCGAAAACAGTTCTCTCTCAGCTCCCTCTCTTCATATTTCCACATGGCAATTAACTCGACTCTTGGCTGGAATGAAGTCAGTCACTGGAATTTGAGCTTGAAAATATCTAACAAAAAAATGACTGTTTTCTTCTATCATATTAGAGTGGTATGAGTTGCCTCCTACATTTACTTACATTTTTCAGGTGGTGTTATTGTAATAGTCTGAGCTGTAAATTCTTCATCAAAATATCTGGTATCTGTCTCTGATGTTACTTGAGGCTTAAAAGGAGGTACAAGCTGTAAAAAGAAAGAAAAAAGACTGTTCACAGATTTCAATTTAGGAAAATCAATTTTAGGATAAAATTGGAGAGCCAGTAACTAACAAGAGTGCAAGAGACTGGACAGCCAAGTCACCGGGAAGGTGCACGAGGCCTCCCGGTCACGTCTGGCGCAGAGCAGTAGGGAGGTGGTGGTTCTGGGCACAGTTTGAGGGACTGTGTGAAAACGAACACGCGAGAACCAAAGAATGGGGTGGGGAGAGGCTCCTGAAAAGTCTGTCCTGGAGAGCATGACGCTACGTAAGGAAAGCCAGTCAGAGAAAGGCAAATACCGTAGGATTTCACTTACATGTGGAATCCAGTGAACAAAATAAACGAACAAAACAGAAACAGGCTCACAGAGACAGAAAACAGACCGACAGCTGTCAGAAGGGGGTGGGGGGCTGCGTGAGAAGGTGAAGGGGGTTTCTTCTGGAAGGCTTTACATCTAGGACTAGGATCCATTTTGAGTTAAATTTGTATATGCTATAAATTCTCTCTCGTTTTCTTTTTAAAAAGGATGCCCAGTTGTTTTAGCACCGTTTGTGGATCTGAACTATCTTTGCACTTTTATTGAAAGGCAATTAACCACATAGAGGGTCTACTTCCAGACTCCCTATTGTGCTGCACTGAGCTCGCCACCCATCCTTATGGGCAAATAAAGGTGTCACTTGTGCATCACAAACTGACTACTGTGAGTTAATAACAAGTGTTCTGGGATCGGACAGTGGTGGCGGCTGCCCAACTCTGAATCTACGAAAACCCACTGAAAAAAACTCAACTGCTTACCATGCTGAATAAATTTCAAGATGTGTTTTGGGGTCAAAATTACCAATAAAACTGTGCTAAGGCCTGGCCAGCATGGCTCAGCGGTTGAGCATCGACCTAGGATCCAGGAGATCGGGGTTCGATTCCCGGTCAGGGCACAGGCCCGGGTTGCAGGCTCGATCCCCAGCAGGGGGCGTGCAGGAGGCAGCTGATCGATGACTCTCATCATTGATGTTTCTCTCTCTCCCCCCCTCCCTTCCTCTCTCTGAAATCAATAAAGACGTATTTTTAAAAAAGAAAAACTGTGTGCTAAGTAGTTCAACATTCAATTAAATGATAAAGATGAAAAATACCATACCATTAAATTTTATTCACTTTAACATTTTTTGCTGTAAATTCACTTTAGCCAAAACGTATCAATGCCACCAGGACGACAACCTACCTTTTTATCATAAACGTCTTGCCAGTTTACTCCAGAGAAGAAACTGTGTCTCATAATCTCTTTTGCATCATCTGGCCCTCCGCCAAGGCTACGAGAACAGGAATAAAACCAAATGAGCATAAAATGTTTACATAAGCCCAACGCGTAACAAAAAGTTTCCGTGAAATGTAATTTTCTGTGTGATAAATAGATCTTGTGATGACTAGCCATAAAAATGAAAATCTTGCGCTGTAAGACCCAATTTCCCTAACATGCTATTAACAAGAACTGGCCTCAGGACGGTCGGGTATCTGGAAAGAGCACAGGCTTTGGTGACAAACCTGAACCGGGCAGCCAGCTGGAACTTAGGGAATGTGTGACAATGAAAAATGTGCTTATTCTCGGTTTTCTCATCTGTAGAATGGGGTAATAATTCCAGCCTGGAAGATGACGGCAAGGGTTAGAAATAAAACAGGTAAGCACCTAGCACAGTAAACGGTAGCTACGATCACTGTCCATTCTATAGACCAAAATCATAGCCACCAGCTGACTTAGGAGTGGTTCTGACATAAATACCAGCTGACATTTTTGTTTATGGTAAAGACTAAGAGAGAAAAGTGATGCAGCAGAGACACACGTCAGAACTGCACCTGTCTGTCAGGGATGTGAGTGACTCCTTTGCTGAATGGCTGGTCAATAGTTTTGGAAGAATATTTCCTCATTTTGGGGCCATTCATTCATAATGTAACGAATACAGATAACTACCACCCTGGAAACTTAATCTGTATTATTAACAATTTCTCTACCAATTTCTTAAGTCTAAACAATCAACAAAACAACAAACCGAGCCCTGTGTTTGTCAATTCTGGTGATATAAAGACTCCCACCGTGGCCAACGGTAACATGTGACAAAATATCATGGAGAGTTTTGAGTATTTCTCACCTTTGATATTAATTAACTTTGCAAATCTGTATAATTTAGTTTTCAATAATGGCTGTATTAGACAACCAGCTTACACAATTCTTGAAATTTATCGATCAGCTCTTAGGAGCTGGCAAGTGCCAGCTCCCTCACGCCACTGGGTAGGAAGCATTCTCCCGAGCTCTGGTTATTACTGGGTGTAAGAAACACGTGACTGGGAAGAATCTGGGCTCCTCGAACATGCTGTCAGAATGGAAAATAAAACCGTGAGCTGAGCTTTCAGACGGGGTCCAACCAGAAGAGCCACGTTCACATCGGGAGCTTTCCAGCTGGCCTCTGTCCACAGGTGACACTCAGCACCCCGCCCCCTGGCCCTGCTGCCTTTCGACCTCAAGTCGGGTGTGTCTCCCCCACCGTGGGTGGCGAACACTTGTGAGGACAGAGGTCAGTACTGGATCAGCCAAAAAGCATCTTAAGCTTGTGCTGTGGGAGCCAAAAAAGCAGACACTCCAAAGCACGTGTTTCTGAGAAGAACTGGACGCTCCGGAGTATGCGGCCGAGTGGCCTGCATGAGAAAAGTCGGGAGCTCATCGTATTTCCCTACAGTTTGTTACTGTTTGTCTGCTTTCATTCTGGATTATATGAGATGGAGCATGGGCAGGG